CGCGGACTCGGGCGAGGGTTGCTGCTCCCCGCTGCCATTTGGCTCAGAGGGCACCGATGCTGACAAATCCTCGGTCACAGGGGCCAAAGATGTGGCAGTGGCGGCGGCAGGCATTGCCGCAGCAACTTGAGCAAAGGAGCGAGGGCTGGATGGCGTGCGAGGGGTNCGGGGAGAAGCATTGGAAGTGTTTCCGAGAATGGGAAGTTGCTCCATGATGGGTTTTGGCCTCCATGAACTCATCAACGTCAAGCCGACGGACAAGTGCCCGCTCTGCAGCAGCAAGACACCTCAGCCGCGACTAACCCGCGAGCACCTGCTGACCTGCCGTCCCATCAAGCGACACAACGCCCTTCGCGACGAGATGGGCCGCCTGCTCAGGTACGCCACCCTCTCCCATGTCTGGGTGGAAAAGTCTGGCTACAACGCCAACGGTCAGAGCTGCCGCATCGACCTGCACTGCCGCAACCCCTTTCCCGGCGGTGCTCTGGGCCCAGCTCTGCCCGACCTGGGCATTGACGTGACTGTGCGCACAGCCCAACCCCCGACCACCTCGCAAGCCTGCATCAAGGTGGGCGCTGCCCTTCGCCGAGCCGAAAAGGAGAAGCGCGACTACTACACCGGTTTCAACCATGGAAAAACTCTGATCGTCCCTGCGGCGATGACGACAACCGGTGGGTTCGCCTCCTCCTTTGTGGATCTGCTTGGTCAGCTCGCCCGCTGCGCCGAGGCCCGTGGTGTGTACCAGCCGGGGCTGGATGAGGCGTTTGTTCCTCGATGGAAGGGTCGCTTTGCGGCGCTGGTCCATCAGATGAACGCTGACCACATCCAGCGCCACTTTGGCGGTGTCTGCCTGCGCTCGTCGTAGGTAGGCACCGTCCCGGGGGTCCCTCTGTGGGGATCCCTGTGTGCACCTGTCGCTCCCTTGGTGGTTCCTCGTTGTGTCTTTTGATGGCTTGACTTGTATTTTTGTTTTAATTTTGCTTTAATTTTTGCTGTATTTGTGTGGT